TATATATATATCGCTCTGTAGGAAGGAAGGGGAGGGATCAGTGTTCATCATAACCAATGAAAGGAGTGTAAGACCACAGGGACGAAGCAGCGGAGAGAAGGGTTCTAGGACAGGAAGGGGAGGGAGGTGGATCTTAGAATTGATTGATAAAGCCGAGCGTGGTGGCGCACGCCTGTAGTCCCAGCACTTGGAAGGCAGAGGCAGGCAGATCTCTATGAGTTCAAGGCCAGCCTGGTCTACATAGGGAGTTCCAGGACAGCTGGGGCTACAGGGAGACCCTGTCTCGAAAAAAATTGATTGATAAAATAATGGTGCTAAAACCAATAGGTGAGGCAGGTAAATAGCTTGGGTCTTGAAAATCACCAATGGGGAAGCAGGATGTAGATCTGTCACCTCTCCTCAACCCTAGTGGTCAAAGAGATGGTTTAGAATTTCAAAGGAGGAAAAGGGGAGGGTCGGAGGCCTTGGAAACCCTTGCGGGCCTTTTTTTTTTTTTTTGGTCTTTTTGAGATAGGGCCTTCCTCTAGCCTCAGCTGGCCTGGAACTCACTATGTGGACCAGGCTGGTGTTGAACTCACAGAGCTCCACCAACACTTGGAGGCCTTCTTGCTGAGCTTTAAAAAGAAATAAATTCGGTGACTGAAGAGATGGCTCAGCAGTTAAGAGCACTAACTGTTCTTGCAGAGGACCAGGGTTCAGTTTCCAGCACCCAACATAGTGGCTCACAACTGGCTGGACTTCCAGTTCCAGTTCCAAGGGGTCCAATGCCCTCTTCTGGCCTCCAAGGGCACTGCATTCATGTGGTGCACATACATACATGCAGGCGAAGCATTCATGCACATAAAATAAAAACAAATCTTGATAAGAAAAAGAAATACATGTGTCCCTTAGGGGCCAGGTGGTATTCTTGTTGCTGGGCATGGTGGCGCATACCTTTAATCCCAGCACTGGGGAGGCAGAGGCAGATGGATCTCTGTGAGTTCAAGGCCAGCCTGGTCTACATAGTGAGTTCCAGGATAGCTGGGGCTACAGGGAGACCCTGTCTCAAAAAAAAAAAAAAAAAGAAAGAAAGAAAATGAAAGAAATGCCAGACAGACCTGGTGGAGCATGTCTATAATCCCAGTGTTTAAGTGGCTGAGGCAGGGGTATTGTCAGTTGGAGGCCTCCCTGGGCCACATAATCAGATTGTGTCTCAAACAGTGAGAGAGAAGGTAGCTCCATGTAGATGGAGGTGGGATCAGTGGTGGTTGAGCCATGATGAGGAGGGCAGCAAGTTTTCTAAAGCATCACACATCTGATTTATCGAAAAGTCCTGTAGGTGGCTATTTTCAGAATATTTCTACAGTCTTTCCACTTCTCACCATCATCTCCACTAGACTTCTTCACGGATGTCTAGTATATCCCATCCCCAGTCTGTTCTCACAGCACCACAGAGATTATATTAGGCCACTGCCTTCAGAAATCACTGTCCTGTACTCAGAAGTCAGTTGTGGCACCCATCTCACTCAAAGACAAAAAGCTTTCAGTATGATCACAAGGGCTACATATTTAGTGCAAACATACAAACACACACACACACACACACACACACACACACACATCTGACTTTCACCTGCTACCATTTCCCCCATTTCCTTCACTTACTCCATTTCAGCAAACCGGCCTGTGCTGGGTATGGTTTGACTCCAGGGCCTTTGAACTTGCTTTTCCCGACTAGAGTTACAGAGAAGGTGGGGGGGGAGGGAGAGGGAGAGGGAGAGGAGAGAGAGAGAGAGAGAGGTCTTCAACAAGCCTGTTCGTTTTCATTGTTTTGTTCACTTGTCCAATGAGGTCTTGATTTGTTGTTTGTTTGTTTTGGGGGGGGTTGTTTTGGGGGGATGTTTTGTTTCACATGTACTGAGAATTGAACCAGGACCTCCTGCATACTAAGCAAGTACTCAACCACTGGGCTATATACCCAACCTCTTTTACTTTTTATTTTGAAACAGGGTTTCACTAAATTGCCCAGATTAGCTTGGAACTCACTCCGTAGCCCGGGCTGGCTTTGAATTTGCAACACTCCTGCCTCAGCCTCCCAAGTGGCTAGGATTATAGGCCTGCATCACCATGCCTGGCTTTGTTGTTCCATCATTGATGTTGTTTTTGAGACAAGGACTCTTGTAGCCAACACTTGCCTGGAACAATTTTTGTAGCCAAGGATGACTATGAACTCCTAATTTTTGTGCTTCCACCTCCCTGTTTGTTTTTGTTCGTTCTTTTGTTTGAGATAAGGTCCCTCTATATATCCCAGGCTGGCCTCAAACTTGTGATCCTCCTGCTTCTGCCTCCCAAATGCTGGGATCACAGGCATGCACCACCAATTCCACCTCAGTGTGATCTTCTCTGACTGCCTGTCTAAAACAAAGCCTCCTTGTTACCTCTTTCATAGTATCTTGTTTTCCCTTATCACAATTTGTAATCATTAGTTTATGTTTCTTGACTGCCACTAGACTAGGGAATGTAACCAACACTTTTTCGTGCTATACACACATCACTTAGAGCACTCTTAATGTTAAGGAACATTTTATTAAGTAAATTATGGAAACCACACAGCATGAGACATCTTACTCTAATTTTACTCTTCTCAAGTTAAAACTATCAAGATTTTTCCTTCATCTTGAGGTAAAGCTGCAATCCTCACACTTGGTTCATAGACCCTGTGTCTCTCCATTTTTTATCTTTCAGGTATCAACTCCTACCATTGTCCTTGCTCACTCCATTTTCTTTCATTTCATTAATTATCATCTTTTCTTTCCTTTTTAGATAGTGTCTCTTTATGTAGCCCTAGTATGCCTGGAACTCACTGTGTACACCAGGATGGCCTCCAACTCACAGAGATCTGCCTGCCTCTGCTTCCTGAATGCTGGGATTAAAGGTCTGCACCACCACACCCAACCTGTTATATTAGATAATTCACTAACACATTCATTGTGTGAGGTCTGTCTCCTCCTGATAAATAGAAGCCTCACAAAAATAGGTGTCTTTCTTTTGCTCAAAATAGATTTTTTTTCAGCAATGGTTAGAACAGGAGTGGTTAATGGACTGTTCTTTGTCTTTTTGAGACAGGGTCTCCCTGTAACCCCAGCTGCCCTGGAACTTGCTATGTAGACCAGGCTGGCTTCGAATTCATGAAGATCAATTTGCCTCTGCCTCACAGGTGCAGGGATTAAATGCCCAGCTGTTAATGGAGTTTTTTAGTTAGGACAGGGGGCCCTAATTGTTTCATTGGTTCCCAGTGCAAGGAAGGTTGTTACTATCTTCCCGGTGAGAGTAGTTGGGATAAGGCTGACTCCAGAACTGTAAGTGAAGGAAAAAGGAAGAAAAAACATGCCAGGCAGAAGGAAAGACTGGGACAAAGGCATAGTGGCCCAACCCCTCCCTGAGGGCACTACCCATGTCTGGACCCCTTCTCTTTTCTGTGTCTTTTGTCTCAACAGGTCAGTGCAGCCCAGGAGGACCCCATGGGTGGGCAAGAACTCAAGAAAAGGCCTACCCCCCTTCCTATCCCTATGCCCTAGGTCTCCACCCCCTCAACCCAGGAGACCCTGTCTTTGCTGTAT